ACTCCGATTCCTAAAAAACTCAAAAAACAAAAATCACTCCAGTAATCTTAAAGCAATCAGATGAAAAATGCCCTCATGTATACTGATGATGTGTACGCTTGGTGCAGTCTTTCTAGAAAGCAATTTGGCCAGATTTCTAAAAGCCAAAATATATCATATCCAGAATGACTGGGTTTTAAGAAGCTATCCAAAAGAAATAATAAGATATATGCAGTGCTATTTGTAATTAGAAACAGTAGACCAAATGTCCAACAAAGGAGAATGATTAAGTAAATTATGGGGCCCTCTATGATGCACCCTTGTATGTGCTCTTCGAGGGGACCCTGGGGTTCAGGAGAAGGCAGTCTGTGCAGTTTTTCCTCTGAGTTCTCAGAAAGGTCTGTCTAGCTCTAACAGTATAATGCCCTGTAAGTCCATGACCTAGCTTCCTATAACTCATTCCAAAAGTTTCTTTGTCAAGGAAGTTGTTTAAAACAGAATCTCAGTGAATTGCCCTCAAGTCTCTGCTACAATGATGGTTTTAGACAATCCTGGCTTAGATGTTCCATTGCCTCATGTGCTTTCTCTGAAGTTAGAGCAGAGAGTTGTCTATCAGGGGTGAGCTGGGAAATGTTTAACCAACAGCCCTGTGGTAGGGGAGTTGCTCTGGACACAGCATTTACCAATTTCTGTTGTGTAAATACTCCCACCGTGGCTGATTCAAGCTACCAGCATCCCTGAACACAGAGTTGAGAAGGGATGTACAGTAGCAGTGTTAGATAGTATTTCTACCACACAGATAGATTTGATGTAAATGACCGTACGAACAGAAATAATAGTAAAATAGAGCAAATAATTAGGTAAATAGAAATTTTTGTCTTTTCTTTTGTATTTATATGAGATGATGGATGTTCACCAAACTTATTGTGGTGATCATTTCATGACGCTTGTGGGTCAAATCGTTGTGTTCTGCACCTTGAACTTGGACAGTCCGGCATGTCAATTGTGTCTCAGGGGAATTGCAAGAAAAAAAAAAAAAGAAAGAAAGAAAAAGAGAATTAGAAAGTGATGAATTCTGAGTAGTACTACCTTTATTTTTAATATAAAATATTTCATTGTAAGTTTATATAATTTAACTTTTAATAATGGCTGTGAGTTATGTCACCAGAATAAAACACTATGTTGTTTTTTCAGACAGGAGGAAGCACTGCCTGGTAGGAAGATAAAGAAAGTGTCATTTCAGGGGTACCTCCTCTCCTAAGTTTGTCTCTAAACTATTATTTGATAGTTTCATCCCAAAACAGTAAAAATAAAATACAAAGTATGTAAATACCATTTACTGAACACTTACTAGGTGCCAGGCTCTGTGTTAAATTTCCTGAATATACCATCCAGCAGCACAATTTAAGGGTCATTTTTTTTCTGAGACCACTGATATTATTTAAAGATGGTGGGGAGCATGTAGCTGGTGGTTATTTTTAAGTAATAAAATTAGAGAAGTGTAGGCAGAATTTTTTTTCTTTTCTCTTGTCCTCCTTCCCCCGGCTCCCCTCCTTCCCCTCCTTCTCTTCCCCTTTCTCTACCCCACCCTCCTCTTCTGCTTTCGCTTCTACTCTTTTTCTCACTCAGTCTTAGACATTTGCATTTATAGACCCCCAAGAAACATTTATTCTTTCAGGATTCTGAGCTGATCTGGGAGTTCCTTAAGACTCTTCCTTTATAGCTTTTCTGCTACCAATCCTTTTCATGCATGGTTTGTTCTAGAAACAAGACATCACTGTTTACTCAGCTCAGAATCAGACACCCTACCTACGACAGCTAGTGAAATGTAAATTATGAGTAAGGAACTCTAGGACAATTAACTGTGCCTCCTCGTGCTGTTACTTAAACTTTGAAAGTGTTGGTTTCCTCATCTGTAATGTGGGAGTGGCCATCCTGCCACGTTTCTGATTTGGGGGCTGTTCTGAGGTCTAAGGAGATGTTGCATGTGACGATGCACTGTCAACGGTAGAGCAATGAGCGTACACGTGGTGGAAGTGACTTGGTTTTCTGATGACATATTCACGTGTAAGGTCACAAATTCCACCCTCACTCCACCCCTCCCCCACAACGGATCCATGATCCTCCTCCCCTTGCCTGTTCAAGGGACATCAAGCTGCTGGGTCCCAGCACTTCCACTGTGATGGTGAAGAGCACAGGGTCTGAACACACTTCTGAGATGAATTACCATTCTGCCACTTACTAGCTCTGTGACATTGGACAAATCACAGAACCATTCTGACCCCCGGTTTCCTCACTTGTAAATTTGTGTAGCAATACCTTGCCTGGAGAACTGCTTAAAGGACTAAGCGAATAATACACATTCAAGGTGCTTAGCAGAGGGACAGACACCTGGAGTGTGCTGCTCAGAAGCTCTTGCTGCTACTAAGTACTGCATCGCCTCAATGAACCTGTGGTTCAGTCTCCAGTGCCCCCTTTGGCAGCCCGGCAGGTGGTATGGTCCCGCCAGTCTCAGCATGGCCTCCACAAAGATCAGGTGTCTTGTTTGGCAAGGAATTTTAGCTCTTGGAAAGTAGGAAGAGGCAAGTGTTGGTGATGGCGTCCTCTCAGTTCATTCTCCAGTCAGAACCTTGTCCTCCTGCCTCTTTAGGCACCTTGCTTGCTGTCACACAGCCGCCACTTCATTTCACCAAGGTCTGAGTAGCAGAAGTGCCCCCTTCGAAGCTGGGATGCCAGCTTTCCATGCTCCTCTCTGCTATCCCATCATTATCCTATCTGTCCTCCACCTTTATTTTAGTTCATAGCTGGTAATGTTTTTGCTTACCTTAAAGGCCTCGTTTTCAATCTTTCAGGGTTGCATGTATCTACCAGGGAGCACAATCAAGGAGATCGCCACAAACCCAGAAGAAGCGGGGAAGTTTGTCTTTGAAGTCATTCCAGGTAGGTGACGAAATGTGGGATAGACGTGCATCACGTTCCCATGTTACTTCTGACCCCAGAAGTCAAGGTTACGTTCAGTGAGTCCGTCAACCGGCTAGCCAACCAACCTAGTAAGAATGCATAATAGTTCTGTATATAGTTAATGGTCCCATACTAGTTCATTAACGACACGTGAACTAAGTGCGTGTGCATCCGGTTGAGCTCTGTAAGCATTTCACGAGCATCTGCGTGGAGCCAGGTATCCACTAGGCACTGGGATACTGATCGGAAAGTGCATCATCCCCGCTCGCTAAAAGGAGCTCAGCTTTGAAGACGAGTGGGACAATAAAATGAACAGTTAAATTATAAATTGAACCATGTGAAATCGCCATGTTGGTAGGTCAAAAACGGTCGACAGTCAACAGTCTCATATAGTTCATTGTGACCTATTAAGAAATGACAACTCCGACTTCCTGAGCACTTACTGCGTGTCAGGCGCTGTAATTTACCTATTGCACAAGCTAGCCACGCACTGGAGGGTGTCTCTTTCTAATCAAGAGTTACCTTCCTCGAATGCATTTGGGGAAAGGGGAAGTTTGTCTCAGTTTGTCTCAAGGGAAGTTTGCTTGTGTCTGTGGAAGTCTATCACACTGAGGCTCTCCTCCCTGTCTCTTGCTCCTTCACCAGCCCCCCGCAACCAACAGGAACTACAGAGCTGCTGGTCCAGCTATGCAGCTAGGTTGCTGCTGCCATGCTGACACAGCAGGGGAGACCAATGTCCCCTGAGTGCCCCTTGCCTTAAATTTCTTCTTACCTCTCACACAAGGCAGCTGTGCGCATAAGAAACTGGATGGCAAAGTCAGTGTAGCAGAGAGGGTAGACATGCCCCATCTGGAGCCAGCCTTCCCGGGGCCACATCCTGGCCCTGCCACTTACTATGTGTGCAATTGTGATCAATTATTTAATTTAATAATTTAATTTCTCTTTGCCTCTGTTTCTTTACCTGGGAAATGGGAACAATGATGATGGTAGTGAGGATTAAGTAAAGAAGTATATATGCCGCACTTGGTGCAGTGCCAAGTGTCTGAAGTTTTGGCAATAACTAGAGGAAATTGTAATGTAGAAACCAATCCCCAAACTGGCTCTGACTATTTATAGAAAACAAAGAAAAGCAGGTTTTTTTTTTTGAAAGTTCATCTCTTCCCAAGTGGCCCCCTCATGGGCACTCCCTTGCTTTTTATCTGAGAGTCTATTCATTTTTCTTCCTCCTCAGAGGAAGAGCCTACTTTTCCAGTCTCTCCTTTCTGGGATAACCCCACCCTTTTCCCACAAGGTTGCTTCTATCCCTAGGATCCCTTTCCCAGCACAATTCAAGGGATGTGACCATTCATGATGACACATGTCCCAAAACCTGATTTTTCAATCTGGGGTGACCCTATTGAGAGCTCCAACTGCAAATTTACTGTGGACTTTGCTGTAAATTGAAGATTGCTGTCACTGTAGGATGAAGATTTGTCCTCTCATTGTCACTCACGCTTACAGATGTCTCCTGGGCTGCTGGGGGAATTCTTGGACAGATTCACACATGTGTGTACGTGCACACACACACATTCAACTCATATGGACAAACAACAATTCTAAAGCAATAGTATGGCAGGGAACCATTTTCCTAAAGACACCATCATTCTCAAGGCTCCACCTAACCTAAAATGAGACAACCCTTTAAGTTACGATGTAGAGAATATTCAGTTCCTCTTTTTGTCGTCCTCTCGTGCAAGACAATTCTCAGGGGCCAGCGCTGGCATCAGAAATGGCCTCCCTAATCGGGGCCCCCTCTCTGTGATCACAAGTCTTAGCTGCACAAAGGCCATAGAGAAGAATTTGGTTGTGGTTATGCTGTTTTTCTTTACTTGGAGCAGGCAAAAATTTGAGGCAAGCTTCTCTCTCCCTAACTACCTCAAGCAGAATAACTATCTGTTCTCCCACCCAAAGGGAGTCATCAGGGATGGGGGGTTTATTCCTTCTGTAGAATAAGTAGCATTTAATTCTCATACTGCCTTCTGAAATGTTACACCAAAATTATTGAGCACCTGCTACGAGCCGGGCACTATTGTAGGAACTGGGGATCCAACAATGAACAAAACAGCCTGTATGCAGCTTACAGTCAATGGGGGGAAGACTGAAAACAAACCAAATAAATGAGAACATTGTACGGTTTTATTATGGGATAAGTATTATGGGAAGAAAGCAAAGAAAGAGAAAGTACTGGATGAGGTGGGGATGGCAACTGTTGATTTGTCATTTGAAATAGAGCGGGAAGAATAGACATCATTGAGGTAACCTTTGAGCCAAGATGGAAGGAAGTGAAGACGTGAGCCAAGTGCACATCTGGAGGAAGAACATTCCAGGAAGGGGAGCAGCCAGTGCAAAGTCTCTGAGCCTATTTCTTGTGTCCAGGAAACATCAAGGAGGCCAAGGTGGTTACAGTGGAGTGTTGAGAGGGGAGAAGAGTAGGTGATTTGGTCAGGGGTGGGCACAAGTTTTACAGGCACTGGTAGGCAAGTGTAAAAAGTTTAGTTTTTGTGCTACAAGGATGAAAATCCATTGGGAGGTTTTGAGCAGAGAAGTAATGTGATCTGACTTTTGTTTTAAAACTCTTTTGAGTTGAGACTAAAAGACTAATAATTATTGTAATTATCCAAGTCAGTGATAGTAACAATGAAGGGGGTGAGAAATGATCAATTTCTGGACACAATTTGAAGCTAGAGAGGACTTCATTTGCTGATGGATTGGATGTAGGAAAGAGAAGTCAAGATTGACTCTAAGGTTTTCACGTAAACAACAGGAAGGACGGCTTTCCTGAGATTTGTGTGTGTGACCAGTTTTGGGTGGAAGATCAGGGCTTTAGCTTTGGACGTATTAAGTAATTAATTCAATTTTAATGATAAGGAAACTAATGTTCAGGATAATTTAGCTACTGCTGTGATAGAGGTGATGATAAGATGTTAAGAGGTTTAGAAAAGGGAGTCCCCACTCCATCTGGAGTGGGAGGGGGAGGTTTGAAGGAAGGGTCCTTAGAGAAGATAACATTTGCACTAGGTTTTAAAGGATGGATAGGAGTTCCTTAGGCAGGGGAAGAAAAGAAGGGAGGTTCCTTTCTGACAGGGGTAGCAGCCCAGTAGGTGACACAGGCTGAACAGACTGTTTAAGTCAGAGAAAGTATGTGCCTGAGGGCAGAGATGCTGTTCATGGGCTTTGTGTTAATGTCAGGCAGTTTCCCTCAAAGACAGCTCTTCCTCGCACCCCAATGTGCCCAAACATTCATTTTTTTGAAGGGTAACAAAGAATTTTCAAATTCTCTTTGGCTCTTGTCTCTTGAATCTATCTTAATATTACCCAGCCTCACCTTCCTTACCCTCTGGGATGACTGACTTCTCAATCCATCTTGTCGTCAGCTCTTCTAATCAGAAAGATCAGTCCATGGAAGCCCTGGTCATTGAGGAACATCCTGAGAGGTGGTTGCCATGATGGAACTAAAGGAATCTCTCAGGAATGAGAGATAACTGAGAAGGCATGTTCTTGATAACGTAACAGACTGGAGTGTAGGCATGGTGGAGAAGGATACCAGATAAATTTTGGCCAAGGTCAAATTTGAAGCGCTATGGGCTGGTGGAAACTATTGGGAGAAAGACCCATGGCCTTGCCTTGAGTTTGGTGGTAACTTACTGGGTAGCAATGGGCAAGGCCCTTTGCACTCTGGGCTTCAGTTCCATTATTTGTAGAGCAGAAATGATACTAGAGCTCTACTCTATTACTAAAGGATGTTGTGTTTCCTATGGGATTCTTTAGTTCTGCCCTGAGGGCTTTTTACTGCCCATCTTACTTCTGGAAACACCCAGTTTCAGGATGTTCCTCAGTGACCAGCACTTCCATGGGCTGACCCTTCTGGGCAGAAGAGCTGATGACCCAGTGATAAGATGGATTCAGAATCAGGTTGTCTCAAAGTGTAAAAGAAAGTGAGGCTGGGTAATATTAAGATAGGTTGAAGAGACTGAAAACAAAGGCACTTTGAAAGTATTTTGTTGCTATGTAAGAAAATACAGGTTTGGGCCCAACTGGGCAGCTAGAACAGGGTCTTTTTTTTAAGCTTTTTAAAAGTTGAAATATAGTTGATGTACAATATTATATAAATTACAGGTGTACAATATACTGATTCACAGTTTTTGAAGGTTATAACCCATTTACAGTTATTATAAAATATTGAGTATATTCCCATGTTGTACAATATATCCCTGTAGCTTATTTTATACCCAATAGTTTGTCCCTCCTAATCCCCTACCCCGTATTGCCCCTCCCCATCCCTCTCTCCACTAGTAACCACTAGTTTGTTCTCTATATCTGTGAGTTTGCTTCTTTTTTTGTTATATTCACTAGTTTGTTGTATTTTTTAGGTATGACGTATAAGCAATATCATACAGTATTTGTCTTTCTCTGACTTATTTCACTTAGCATGATGCCCTCCAAGTTCATCCATGTTGCTGCAAATGGCAAAATTTTGTTCTTTTTTGTGGCTAAGTAATATTCCATTGTATATATATACCTCATCTTCTTTATCCATTCATCTGTTAATGGACACTTAGGTTGCTTCCATATCTTGGGAATTGCAAATAATGCTATGAACATCAGGGTGCATATATCTTTTCAAATTAGTGTTTTTGTTTTTTTCAGATAAATACCCAGGAGTGGAATTGCTGGGTCATATGGTAGAAAAACAGGCTCTTTTTGAAGGAAATGCCCTGATATTTTGAGAAGAATGGGTTGATGTCCCCTAAAGTGATGTGAGATTTAATAGTATCCTGTAATTGAAAGGGATTGCTGTTATTTTCTTGTACTTTGTAAGACCTATGTTTGATGTGCCCCTTCTCCCTCTCCTCTCCTCTCTCCCTATTTTTCTCTCTTTGTCACTTTCTCTTATTCTTTCTCTTGGTCTCCTCTCCCCACTCTGCCCCCTTGTCATTTCTTCCACCCTTTTGTCCATTTGATAACACCAACCCAAGACATACTACAGATGTCTGTCTGTAATCTTGGGTTTAAAGTGAAAACGATAAAGAATGTCCTAACAAACTTCATTTGTCCATCAGCTATGTATCGAGAGCCTACCACTTGCAATGTCTTCATGCAGGCAGGAGGGCAGTAATCCTGAACAGGAGGCACAGATTCATAAGAAAGGCACACGGTGCTCATTGCCCCTCCCTCCTGAGTTGCTGTTCCCTCCTCCAACCCCACGGCCGAGCTCAGGGTAGCCTAGGAAGGTATCCATGATTGGCATGATGGACTTAGGTTTCAGAATCGTATGGGCTGAGCCTGTCTCCTCTTGTACTGACACTGCCCCTTGAACTTCCTCTTAATTTTTGATAGGAAATGGCTTCTGTCCTCCATGGGGACAGATCTCAGCCCAAATCATCTCAGTTGCAAACCACTGAGTTCAATGATTTGTGTATAGGATTAGAGCTCCAGCAAAAACAATAAAGGTGCGTAGATACTCAGTTCTGCCGAGGAAAAGTAGATGCCTTTGTGCTGTTTGACCGCTTGTTTAATTGGACCAAAGAAGCAATTCAGGCTCAGCTTCCCCTCGCTGCCCCTTGCTCTGGCCCCTGACCAATGTATGACCTTCATTAGTGTTACTTCTTCCTCCAGCCTCATGTGACCAGAGTCGCACGGGACAGGACTCCTATGTCCTCATGGCCAGCTCCCAGGCGGAAATGGAGGAGTGGGTTAAATTCCTTAGAAGAGTCGCTGGCACACCCTCTGGAGGTAAGGACTCCTGCAGGCTTTCCTGGACAGGTGTCTGTGACATCTCAAGGATGGGAAGGAAGTCGTTTCAGACAAGAGCTTTCCTTGAACAGTGTTCAAAGAAGACCACCAGAGGACAACTCTGAGGCCATGCTCATTGCCAAGGCTCTAACTTCCCTCCCTGGGTGATGTCAAAGCCAACTCCAGATTAGCTGGAAGGACTGCAAGCCCTTTGCACTCATCGGCAAATGTGTGTGATGCCCTGAAGCAGTCCTTTCTCCTCTCTGGACACAGTGCTCTCATCTGTAAAACGAACGGGTTGGACCAGCTGACCCCGGTTCCTGGCAGCACTAACCTTCAGTGGTACCAAGAGCCTGCCCAGTTATGGGGGTTTGGGAACCCAAGAAGGTTGATGGCAAGATCTATGCTGAAAGCATAAGTTAGGCTGATCAACACAGGAAACTAAAGCTGCTGTCCAGAATTGGGGTGGTCACAAGGAGGAGAGGTTCCGGAATTGTGTCTGCAGTCTTACAGGTACACAGTGAATTCAAGGTTGAACACTTTTCTGGGTTACAGGTGTTTGAGTTTATAAGCTCAATTTCAAGGTTACAAGCTCAAGTGTTTGAGCTCTCTGAGAACACTCAGTGTTGAGAACACTCAGTGTTGTGTCCACACTGCAGGAGGGCCCTGCCTGTGAATAACTAATGTGAAAAAAATCTGAAATTAACAAACAGGTGAATTCAGTATGTGTTTTTTCCTTTCATAAAAACATGAAAGAACTGGTGACACAAGGCAATCTCAAGTGACCATTTTCCTTCAACTTTTTTAGGAACACACTCATTTGTGTCAACTCCAGGATAACGATATAATTTATGATTATTTATCACTTATGCTGCCTGTTATTTTGGAAATTATTTGGGGGGGGCTGTTATAGCTCAAATATTAAATATTTATTTGATTTCCCAATAACTTCTTTCAAAAATTATGAACATCTTAACAATTTTGTGGACATTTGAAAAAATATAGGAAAACAATCACTCCTAAGACTACCAGAGGTGTTTTTATATTTTCCTTCCAGCTGGTGTTCATATATACATACTTGTTTCTCAGGATGACAAACACAGGATTTATGCAGCTCGGCACGGTTTATTTTCTAGCTTAATTTTCCCAAAGGGCTGTATAATCTTAATTGATAAATTTTATCCAAATGATGTTAAGCAAGAAAGAGGTATTTGCGGGGCAGGTGCAAGTTACTCCAAGAAACCAAGGGCAGGAACTTCCAGGAGGACTGAAGGGACTGGGGCTGAGAACTGATGTTTCCCTGGGGCCACGCAGCTTCCCATTCCTCTTTTCTCTGCCTGCCTGTTTTTGTCTAGTTAACAGCCCTCTGGCGCTCACGCCCGTCCCAAATACTGCTGTGCCAGCCCCGGCTATCCTGTATTTATCCCTGGAGTACCAGCAGAGGCTGAGCTCAGCCTCTAGTGCCTCCCCCTTCCAAACTCCTGGCTCAGCTGTGGTCAGGATCTGGGGCAGGGAGGAAGTCCTGTGGCCAGTGACCTGCCCAGGAGGGGCTGCGAGAAAAGAAGTGACTTGGATGGGACAGCCTAATTTGAGTGCCTGCCTCATACAAACAGCTGCAACCTATTACAAAAAAGAGGAGTGTAGTTTCATTAACCATTTCCCAGTTCCTAAACACAGTATTTTTTATGGTGCTAATCAGGTTGAGATGAGCGGTTTATTTATTAAAGCTCTGTTATGTGCTGCTCAGCCTGGATGGTCTGACCTGTGACCTTCCTTACCGCCCTGGATTGTGTGAGGGCTGACATTTTCTGCTTTCCCTGGCCCAGTGCTTTAGGCTGTCTGCAGCGACAAGGGTAGCACATGTCGTCTCAATTATGTACCTGTTCTGAGCCAAAATGCTGTAGAGGGCTTCACTGGTGGCGCAGTGGTTGAGAGTCCGCCTGCCGATGCAGGGGACACGGGTTCGTGCCCCGCGGTTCGGGAAGATCCCATGTGCCGCGGAGCGGCTGGGCCCGTGAGCCATGGCTGCTGGGCCTGCGCATCCGGAGCCTGTGCTCCGCAGCGGGAGAGGCCACAACAGTGAGAGGCCCGCGTACCGCAAAAAAATAAATAAAAATGCTGTGGAGGCACTGTGACCGGCATCTATGCCCCGTGTGGTGCTCTGCTCAGCCTTGTCAGGGTGAACCGTTGCAACGGTCATAACCCACATGGGGATTTCTCCCTCACCCCACTTGGAGGCCACCACCGTCAGAAGCAAGTCAAGCGTAAGTCCTGTAGGCAGAGGAAAGTCCAAGGGAGGAGAAATAAGAGTCCAGCACTATTTATGTATTCAAAGAACAAGGTTTGGATTTGATGTGGCATCTCAGATTGAACCAAACTCAGAGATCTCAGGAGGAGAAGGCATTTTAAGACAGCAGAGTCCAGTCTGAGGTCTTGGGACAAGTCAGACATTTGCTCTTCCTGTTTGTAAGTCAGGAAACTTCAGACGTGAGGAAGTAAGCGATTCGTCCAAGGGACCCAGCCGTCGAGGGGCAGGGCTGGGGCTCCTGCCCCTGGGGAGCCCTCTTTCGCCTTGTAAAGTGCCTCTGATCTGGGTCTACTAGATCGGCAGGGTGTGCCCCCTCACACTCTGGAAAGTCACTGAGGTACGTTGCTGCTGTCTTTTTGCAGCTCTTCATGAAACTTTCTATGACTTTTCCCACCCAGAACCTACCCACTTCTCACCACCTTTGTTACTTGCCATCCTGGTTGAGGCGCCAGACTGCCTTGTTCGAGTTGCAGCAGTGGTCTCCAAACTCTCTCCACGCTTCCAGGCTCGCCTTCTTCTAGTCTGTTTTCAACAGAGAGAAGAGTGAACCTATTAAACCTGTCATCTCAAGACCCTTCTCTGCTCATCACTGTCTAATAGCTTCCTTTCTCTCTCAGAGGAAAAGTCGGAAGCCTTATAATGACTCCCCACAATCTGCCCCCACCCCCATAACCTCTCTGACCTTGTTTTCTAGAACTCTCTCCAGTGCCCATTTCACTCCAGCTTCACCAGCCTCCTTGCTCTCCCCCAAACACCCTAGGTACACTCCTGCCTCACGGCCCTTGCACTAGCTGCTTCCTCTGTCTGGAACCCTCCTTCCCCAGGGTGCTGCACGGCTTGGTCCCTTGCTTTCCTCAGGTCTTTGCTCAAACTTCACTTCAGTGAGCCTTCCCCTGATCATCCCGTTTCACACTGAACTCCTTCCCCACCAAGTCATTCTCATGCCAATTCTGCAGAGCTGAGGCTTCTTCCTGCCCCAGCTCCTTTTCTGGCTCCCCTGATGGGAGAGAGGGTCCACATGTTTCCCGTGGCATACCTAACTTCTTCCCCGCAGCTCCTCCTGCATCTGAGCTGACTCTGGACATGTCTCTTACCTTGTCCGATTTGATTCTGGGACCAATTCCAGTGGGTGCGTGTTGGGGAGAGGGGGAGGGCTCCCCACACGTCTAAGCAATTCTTGGACACCAGCTCGGTGTTCTACAATTTAACTCAATTTTGATGCTATCTACCTGGAGACAGCTTCAGATTTCACAGGTTAATGGCTCAGTCCTACAAAACTGCCCTCATATGCCTATGGCAAGTCCAGATTGTACCCTGTGCGTCTAACCAACCAGCTACAGATAGGAAGTTCCACAACCCCCTCCTTGGGTTCAAATAATTTGCTAGAGTAGCTCACAGAACAGAGGAAACCAGTTTACTTACTAGATTACTGGCTTATTATAGTAGAACAAAGCTCTGGAACAACCAGATAGAAGAGACGCATAGAGAAGGTATGGGGGACAGGCACGGAGCTTCCATGCCCTCTCCCAGCGCCATTCTACCTGCACTTCCTTGGGTTCACCAACCCGGAAACTCTCTGAACACATCCGTTTGGGCTTTTCTGGAGGCTTTAGTACGTAGGCACGATTGATTAAATCATTGGCCATTGGCGACTGAACTCAATCACCAGCCCCTCTCCCCTCCCTGGTGAGTGGGACTGAAAGTTCCAAACCAATAATCACATGGTTGGTTCCCCTGGCAACCAGCCCCCATCCTTAGCTGGGATCCAAAAATTACCTCTTTAACGTAACGAAAGACACTTTATCGCTCTCATCACAGGAAATTTGAAGAGTTTTAGGAACTCTGTGCCAGAAAGTGGGTGGAAGACGAAAAAATATTTATTATTATAAATCACAATATTGCACCTTGGAGAGCAGCTCTTTGGTGCATCTGGGTGTTCCAGCCTTTTCTTCCTAGACAGCCAATTTATCTCTCTCTCTCACTCCCTTTTTTTTTCTTTCTTTCTTTCTTTTCCTACCTTTTCTTAAGGGCCCAGCTGGAAAGGTTAGATTAATTTTTTCCCAGAAATTCTGGATGCAGTTCTAGGTTGTCCCGAATTACGTAGGAGAAAGGGAAGGGAGGTGATCACACCTCAACTTCAGGTGACTTGTTCCCAGGCTCCCAGCTGCCCACTTTCTCCAAACCACCTCCTCCTTTTAGTAAGGGGGCTCTGCCTTCCCTGGATCTCCGCATTGAAACCTGGTCTCCATCCCATCCCCAGGAGGCTGGCAGCCACCCTGCTAATTGTTACTCAGTCGGGACCTGCTTTGCCTTCTTCCTCTGGAGGATGGCCTCTGAAGTTTTCCTTGGGCCATCGCTGGGCGCAGAAGCACGGCACTGAATTACGCATAATTCTGCTCCACCCAAGCAGGTTGAAAGACCCTGGGGCAGGTCGCATGGTTTAAGCGTCTTTGTGTGTTTGCCAGCACTAGGTATGGATCATATAAATATGGAATTGTTCTATGCCTCAGGTTCCCTTTCTCCCTCTCATTTCTTTAGGTCTCTGCAGCCTTCAGAGCAAGATTTCACAACCCACAGCCCAGCGTAGCTGGTGGGAGTGTGGTCTCTGTGATTCACTGTTACCTCATGTGTCCTGCTTTTTCTCTGTGGCTAAATGGGACATTACGAGGGATGATTTTTATTTATTTTCAAT